CGTAACCTTATTTTGCGACAAATATGATATTCTACATGAACACACAACTGCCATGGTGCTCTAAATGCGGATGGGATTCCCAATCCTTTGATGAGGGTTAACTATGTATTTGCATATTTCACTAAATTCGGAATTTTCTCTTACTCTACAGGGCATTTAACATTCGAACGCTCCACCGCCGTACAACGCGAAGAAGATCGACGTGTTCGCCAACTAGATCGATCCTCTTCTTCGACCACAGCCGGTGCAAACAGTCTTCCACAAAGTTTAATTCGCACAAAGACACCGAAACCGGTACGACACACCGTGTGGAAATCACGCGGCGAGGAGTATCGGCGACTTGGTGGAGATGGCTGGATGTGGCTGAGCACAACGCGACGCTCACCTGCTGAAGAGTCTAAGGCGGTGACTCTACTTTATCCTACGATTAATGAACTGGCACGCCGTTCAGAAACAAATCGGCCACGCTGTCGCGGTCTTCAGCATGGCATCGGATGGGGTGCTTGTCCGGAATATCTAAAGGTAAATGGTGCTTCTGTTTTTAAATTAATATTTCCTAAAGGATATGAGCCGATCAAAGTTCATTCATCTGGAGCGAATCTGCCTGTCACCTGAGTTTGCTTTCAGAATTCCCATATGTTTTCCTCTATTTTTTCTACGCTAGTGGTTAGGTAATGGTTTGAGAGATTGCCCTTAATCCCATTGAACTAGCGAGATTTTGTTTTCGTTTGATGGTTGCCGACTTCATCATTGGTCATTTGAACTTCCGTAACCCGTTTTCGACGGTGATGTACCTCGTTCCCATCGTGACCTAAATTGCCTTCGGTAGCGTGTTTATCTGTCATTTTCGTCACTCATCTCCTACGTTTGATATCCCATTCCTACCCAGCCAGTCAGTGTTTTGATTGACGTTGTCTTCTCGTAGCTACCAGTTTTGTGCTCCCGATTCTATTCAATTCACAAAAAATGTGCGATCATTTTCTGGGTAAAATGATCACTGTTATTATCCCGGTTCTCTTTATTGTTTGTTGGTAAGCATTAACAGTCTGCCCAATCCTTGCTGTTTTCTTGTTTGTATGATCCTGAATCTTTTACATCATTACTCCAAGTAGTAGGGCGAACGTTACCGGCTCGCCAAGTTGAACAGCATGATATTGTGTCTTGGGATTTCTTCCCTTTCCCATCTAATGGTGTGTACTTGCCTCTTATCAGCCATTCACTTGAAGCTAATTATTTTGCAGTGGTCAGTGGGTATGTTTTGAAGCTCGATTGAATTTTCTTTTCATTTTACTCCTTGCCATTGAATTTACAAAGATAAAATTTTCGGAATGGGAAAGCGGCCAATCAAAGGACTGCCAAACCACGCACAGAATGGGGAAGTTAGGTGATGATGGTGGGATTCGAACACACCTCTTCCGGGGTGATAATTTGGTGACGTTACCACCGGGCCATCACGGCCTATTACCACTGGAACTGTTGAAGACAACTGTAGTCAATATACAGATGAATGCAGAGGATAAGATGTCTTGCAGTTTTTATTATTGGTGTAGTTTGATTTCTCACTGCTGCTGTTTACAGACTCCAAATACCAAACAATTGAATCATTTTTCCTCAGGG